ACACCATACATACATACATACATACATACATGTCTCCTTACCGCCAGCTAATTGTAGTTGTGGAAGAACAGAAACATGATTAGGGATGTGGAAAATAAGCTAATTTTGGAATGAGAGCCTGTAAGACATTAGGGGCTGGAGAGATATGTGTATGTAGGGGTTATAAAGTGATTAGACCATTACAGATTGGTAAAAGGAATACATGAGGATACTAGAGTGAAAAGTCAGGATGCAGAAAAGTATAAGCAGAGAGAATTGGCAAGACAAAGACATTTTCAAAGATCCTAATGACTTGATTAAAAAGAAAAACATATGAATTTATAATAAACATGACAATGATACTTCTAGTTATCTATCTCACCTTACAATAGAGATGCCTGCACGTCCATATTTATTGCTGCACTATTCAAATCAGCCTGATCTCTGTCAATGAATCAATGAGTAAAGAAAATGTGTATATACACAGTGGAGTCTTACTCAGCCATAAGAATGCAGTTATGTCATACACAGGAAAATGGATGGAACTGGAAATCATGATGTTAGGGAAATAAGTGAGTCATGTCAAGAGTCAGATAAAGTAAGTGTGACTTTTAGGGATATGGATAGGGCAAAGAGGGAAGGGACATAAGAAAGGACAATAGAAGGGACAAGTATGATCAAAGTATAATATATGCATGTACTGAAATGTCATTATGAAATCCAGTACTTTGTACAATATGTGCCAAAAATATAAAAAAGGTAGTGAAAAATGACTACAGAACCAATGTTTTCTATTTTGCCAATTAATTACAGTAAATTTTAAATTCCAAAATGACTTCTGTCACATTGTAATTATCTGGGCTGCATCTTCCTGCCATCTGCTGGTATAGTTTGAAGAAATAAAAATGTATTTTAATTTTATCCTAAACAAAATATAATTAGAAGGATAAATCACATGAAAAAATGTACTCTGGAATCAATTATTAAATTTTTATTTTTCTACTATTTTTGGTTTTTGGTGTTCATACTTCTCATGATTGTGAATAATCAAAAACTGATTATATCTGAGCTTCACAATAATATATTTGTAAGACAGATTAGGGAAGATATTATCCCATCTTTGTTTTAGGAAGAAAGAATGCAAAAAAGTAATTTTTTTTTAATCAAAATGACATAGCTGTTTGGGGATTAAATTTGAATTTAATACAGACCTTTTGATTCTAATGCTAGAATCTTTAAACTGCCCTGTAGTGCTTTAGCAGTTAATTTTTTCTCAATTTTGACCATAATAGTGAAAACTCAGTATATATTAGATAAATAAGTAGCATTATAAAATAGTATTTGAACAAATGGATCTCATATTTAAAAAGACCTATAGTTCGTTCATTCCTTCTACTTCTTGCCTCTGGAACTTCGATGATGGTACTGGAGGAAGAGTGTTGGTTTCTACTCCAATCTAGTAATAGTTTTCAGTCTCAAAATCTTGTTGTATTTCAATCCTCTTCCCTAAGCTTTATGTTCTTTCCCTTACTTCTTAGCTTAGCTTAATTAAACCATTCACATTCTTTAAAATTCAATCAGGGTAAGCTAGGTGCCCTACCTCTGGTCTCTAATAATCTATGCAAGTTTCTCTTACATCATGTGTCACAATCACTTTTGTATCACTATTCCTAAGATTGTGTCTGTAAACACCAAGCATCAATAAACATTTGTTGGAAAAAATGATATAGTAGTAATGGCAAATTCTATTTCTTGAATGCTTAGCATATCACCAATTTGTTATTATAACAGCTCCAAGGCAAAGGTAATATATCATCTCACAAATAAGGAGAATGAGAAACAGAGAGATCAAAAGGGAGATGAAGTGCCCTAGGAATTCAGGTCTCAAAGATCTCATCCTGTCTCATGGTTTAAGCTATATACACTGATGACTCCTAGATTTGTATCTCCAGGCTGTCCTCTCCTCTAAACATACTCAAGTACATTCTTTCTTGACTTCAATTGGATGCTTAATAGGTACTTCAGCCTTCACATGACTGCCTTTAGCTCCAGATATAGCCCTCTCTCCAACCAATTTTCTTCCCTACAATCTTCATCTCAGCAAAGGTTAACTTCCTTTTCTAGGCCATGGATAACTGAGGAGTAATTTTTGCCTTATTTCTCATTCCTCAGCAAGTGGTGTCAACATTATTTTCAAAATATAGAAAGATGCTTGTTTCTTTCCACTTTGATTCCAAGCTACCATCATTTCTTGTCTATATTATTGGGATCCATTCTGAAGTTGTCTTCTTGCTTCTGTACCTGCCTTCTTTCATTCTGTCCTCACATAGTCCCACAGTGATCCTATATAGATTACGCCACTCCTCAGCAAAAATGCTCCAATGGTTTTCATCTCATCCAGAGTGATCCAAAGTCCTTTAATCAGATTCCTGACACCCATCTTTTTCTTTGTTTCACCATACTAAACTCCTTGTTTTTCACATAAGAGGGTTGTTTCATATGCTGTTACCTCATGTCTGGAGTACTCTTCCTTCAGGCTTATGTATGACTTGCTTTCTTTCCTCCTTTAGGTATTTATTCCAGGTCATTTCTCAGTAAGACTCTTTGGACTCTAAGGATCTAAACTTAGTACTCTTATTCTCTTTTCATGACTTTTTTTTTTCCTTTTTGTTGGTCGTGGGGCTTGAACTCAGGGTCCAGTGTTGTCCCTAAGCTTTTCTGCTCAAGGCTAGTTCTTTGCCACTTTGAGCCATAGCACCACTTCTAGTTTTCTGGTGGTTAACTAGATTACGAGTCTCATAAGACTTTCCTGTCTGGCTGTGATAGCTAAGATTACAGGCATGAACCACTAATGCCAGGTTTTTCATTACATTTTTTTCCTGTAGCATTTAAAAAAATGTATCATGCACTTTAATATTTTTTATTGATACTGTTTATTTCTTTCTTTACTATGTTAAGCCCCATGAAGCAAAGAATTTTTTTTAAAAAATGTATCCTTTCTATGTAGAAAGAATCTGGATCATGGTAAATTCAGTAAGACGTAGTGGAACAAATAACTGAGTGATACAACATAAGAATAAAGATTAATGAAAGTGGGGGGGAAGAGAAAAAAAGATTAATGAAAGTATGATTAATCAAGGCCTATAAACCTAATATCCAAAAATGCTCATAAGTTTTTGGGTTTTCATGGATATATCTTTGGAATAACTTTATTTTCCAGAAAGATAAGCTTGGTTTCTCTTTATAATGAAACTTCAGAGAAGAGTGATCAAGAAGAAAACAAAGCTAGGCACTGGTGGCTCCTGCTTATAATTCTAGCTTCTCAGGAGGCTAAGACCTGAAAATCATAGTTAGAAGCTTGCTTGGGCAGTAAAGTCGATGAGACTTTTATTTCCAATTAACCACCAAAAAGCCAGATATGGAGGTAAGGCTCAAGTGGTATAATACCAGCCTTGAGCAGAAAAAGCTAAGGGACAATGTGTAGGCCCTGAATTCAAGCCTCAGTTCCCCCCCCCCACATGAGGATAATAATAATGACAGGGATTAAAAGTTGTTTGCCATATATGGATTGTGCTAATGATTCTTAAAAATTATTACTAAATAGAACTTAGTATTCATAGAGGACTAAAATTAGAAATGAAAAAAAAGCTCATTGATTGAATTAGCAGTGTCTGGCATATATTAATGTAATATATAAAGAAAGCTGGACTTGGATGTTATCCAAAAGGACTTCTTGAAGTAGATTTCTAAAGTAAGCATGGTGTGTCTAAGCTGGTTAAATTTAGGAATAGGGAAGAGTAATGAAGACCTGAAAAAGATAAATTCTTAATTGTCATCCCTTATTTACTGTTGTGGGTAGAATGTTTCCATCCAGAAGATATTCACATTCGAATTCCTGGAACCTTTGAATATACTGTACCTAGCAAGGAGGAATTTGTGTTGTTTACAGGCTACTATAAAGACTTAATCTGGTTGGGCCCGATGTAAACACAAGAGTTTTTTACAATGATAGAAAAGTGATAACCAGGTTGATATCATGTGAGAAAGACCTGTCCAACTATTGCTGGCTTTAAAGATGAAAGGGGCCATGACCAATCAAACAATGATGGCAGTGCCCATCTTATATTTATTAATTTTTATCTGGATTCAAACGGGTTACAATGAGTATAACCAAAAATTATGAGAATATTGAAAAATAGGCTGCAAATGCAAAATATGGCAGGAACCGACAATAATAGGGCGATAGGTTTCTTATTTTTGTTGGTCATGGGGCTTGAACTTTGGGCCTAGGCGCTGTCCCTGAGCTTTTCTGCTCAAGGCTACTGCTCTGCCACTTTGAACCACAAAAACACTTCCAGTTTTCTGGTGATTAGTAGGTGACAAGAGCATCAGAGACTTTCCTGCCCGGGCTAGCTTTGAACCGTGTTCCTCAGATCTCAGCCTCCTGAGTAGCTAGGATACAGGCGTGAGCCACCAGTGTCCGACACAAGGAAAACACAAGGTTTTTTATTTTTTATTTTTTTTGTCGGTCTTCGGTCTTGAACTCAGGGCCTGGGCGTGTCTCTCAGCTTTTGTGCTCAAGGCTACGGCTCCTCCACTTTGAGCCATAGCTCCATTTCCGATAGGTTTCTTCTTGAACCCTGCTCCACTCACCATTTCATATAAACTTAGGGTTAGGTTTGATAACAAAACACTTCATCTAACCTTCAAAACAAGCCTGTGAGGTAAAGGCGCATTCTGGGACCTGGAATGATGACGCCTGGGACCGAAGGCGCCTGGCCAGTCCCGAGGGAGGCTCAGCGACGGTCTCGGGACGCTCTGCTGGGAAAATGAGGCTTCCAAGCCCAGCGTCCCTCTCACCTGAGGCTTATTTCCCTTAACACACTCGAATTCTGCCTTTTCCGCTCCCGGAAGGCAGGTCACCTGGGTCACCCGGTGAAGCTCACTCCCGGAGCGCGACACGGTCCGTCCCCAAAAGACCCTGCCCCGAGCCCGGCCGCCGCGCCCCGGCCCCAACTAACCTGACCAGGTCCGTCATGCACGAGCCCACCACCACCACCGCCACCTCCTCCGGCCACGGTCTGGTGGGGTCCCCGGACGCCGCCATTGCGAACCGGTGATACCCGCCAACCTGGACGTTGCCCTTTGCCCCTTGCCCTACGCCTGACCCCGTCACCACCGACGCGGCTTCAACTCTCGCTCACGACGCGGGCCTTTCACCCTCCTCTACGGGTCGCCCACCCCAATGCCCGAAAGAACTCCGCCCACTGGCGCTCCCCTATTCTTCTAGGAATTGTCTGCCGCACGCCTTCACGGTACAAAGCCCCGCAGACATGGCGGGAGCCCTTGCTTCCCGCCGCCCGCCCAGGTGAGGGCTGAGCGGGAATTTTCAGGCGCCGCGGGGACGCCTTACGCACCAGCCGGCTTGGCTCGGCGCGGGAGCGCGCACGCCGCTGGTCTCCAGGCCGTGGAGGGGGCGGAGCGGGACGTCAGGGAGCGCACACGTATTCTGTCTGCGGTGCGCGTGCCGGTCGGCGCGTCGGTCGGGGGCGCGCTCGGGTAACCTGTACCCCACGTAGTCGCCGGTTACCGATCGGACTTAAGTTCCAGGTACCTGGACTGGGGCTGGTGTGGGGAGGTCAGACCTTGAGTCGCACAGGTGACGCCGAGAACCGTGGTTTAACTATGGCCAGAGGGCTCGCCTCCTCTTCCTCAAGAGGAGGCCCCCGTTCCACAGGATGCTCCGGTCACTCCCCTCACGTTCATCTCCTCAAGAACGAGCCCACAAAACGAGAGGTTCTCTTCATATCCGGCCCCAGCTCCCCACTTGGCTCCTTGACTAAGACCCCGGACTAACCCCCTCCTTTCTATTGATGAGGCGCCGGGGCGGGGGGGGGCTGTCATACAATTTGGGAGAAGGGCGAGTGTCCCTTCTGGACGTTCCCTAGCGCGGGGGAGGGGGGGTCATTCTTTGGGTCCTAATCGATCTGTTTTTCCGGATGGCGCTCCTTGGAGAAATCGCTTCCCAGGCGTAACTTCCCTCGTGCGCTGTATGACGTCGGCGTGATGCTGCAGGAGGCCCCCCCTTCCGTCCCATGACGTCAACTGGGCACATGTTTCCGTGTTTGTCATCCTATCCTAATTGCCTGAGCCGGGACGGTGCTCGTGTACGTCTTTGTATTCCCTAGGCAGCCGACCAGAAGACCTTAAGTGACCTTATTTTAATCTAAGTAAAGCATTGTATTTTTGCAGTTTCCTTCAGAAATGGCGTCAAAATGGAGGAAACCCAAATTGCAGAACTAGCATTTTAAGAGAGGAGACTGCCCATGAAAAATGGTTGTCTCTGAGATCTATTGAACTGTCATTTTGAAAGAGGAGACTGGCCCAGAAGAATTTCTGTCTCTCTGAGATCTCTTGTAATGCCACCATGTCTTTAAGTTACCGGGGGATTGACTCCAGTTCATGGCTCTGCTCACTGCATCAGAGGACCATTATTTTTGGTTATTTGGTTTTGGAATTAGTATACTTTTATCTCTTTCTTAGAGAGCTCATGCCTCCTCACTAGTGAAACAGATTTTTAGTGCTGCATGAACTCTTGCACTGTCAAAAAATATTATTGTATTTTTCTAGAAATATGCAAATTCATTCCCTGCGGTATCAACCTCAAGTCATGACAGTTGCTGAGTTGAATGGGTTGTTGTCACCATTAGTGTGGTTTGATTTCCTGAGCAGGTTTGTTCTCTTCAGCATTTGACTAGTGAATCAGGACAGCTTCAGCTGTAGGTTAGCAGTAGTCTAGTTTGTTTCTAGTTGTAAAGCAAGCATTCATTTCACTCTATGACTGTCTTCATATATCCTTGACTTCATGTTTTCTCCTTAGTGACCCTTTAATCACCAAAGATTCTTTGGTCCTGTGGCCCAGTGATTATTAATATGTTTACAGAGGAAGATATGAATAGTAGACTTTGAGAGAGCTAGATTTGAATTGTGATTCTCTGTCTGCTTCATTTGTGGCATTGAATTAGGTCTTATTCATGAATTGGTCTGAAATGTGAACAGTATTCACCCAGGAGTTGTTGGGGACAAATGACCTTATGAAACTGTGGGCAAGAATGGTGCTGACAGTGAGGAGATAATGCTAATTATGTTTTTGTTCTGTTTCCCTTTTTCTTTTCTTCTCTTTCTTTTTAAGAAATGTGAGATAAAATAATAGTAGGTATTGTCAGAAAAAACACGGAAACGATCATTTTTAATGTGAGATTTTTTTTGCTTTCCCTTCCCCCGATGACAGGTTTATGGATTTTGCAGTGATATAGATAAGCAAAAGTAGAAATGTTGCAAAATAAAAAAATTCAAACATGATAAAATGGATTAGTACACTGTTCAAAAATAAAACAGTTAACCATATCATTTGCAAAAGAATAAAGCACCCATGTTACTATCTAGATTGTGAAGAACAATTGTAATAATATGCATAGAGACTCTTTATCAGTGATAAAATGGAATAAAAGTGTACACTGTTTTTTGTGGTTGGTAGTATAGTGTCTGAGGTGTTTATTGTTATCCCATGATGCTATATTGGAACGGTGGGAGGAGGGCATCTGGTAAGGGGTCAGGAGAGAAGCTTCTTTTATATTTGCAGAAAGAATGATTTGGGAACTGAAGTACATGGCATAAAGCTTATACCACTTCAAAGGGACTTCTGGGCATCATCACTAGGGCTGCAATGTTATTTTTTGAAAGATCATGAAGTCCTTCCCTTTATTAAATCTGAAGTGATAAAAACAAGTACTGGTTTTAGAAGGTCCTTGAAAATCTTGTGTGGTAAAACCTGTGAAAATTAGAGCTACAGAATGCATTATTTGTACTGGCTAGAAATTAGTTTTTTTCTCCCTAAAATATGGGATTGTCCTTTCAGATTGAGAAGTGATCATTTGAATTGACTTTCTCATCTCTAAAGGTTATGTCTTTCATTTGGAAATCTATTGTGAGGAATGTACTTCTTCCTGCAGTACCACGAGTTTCCAAATAATTTAAATAAGACTTGTGGTTTTGCATTTGCATTTTGTATTTGTATTTTAAATGTAAGGACTTAATGAATTAGAAGGAATGACTGGAAAATTCATAATACTCTGTTTCTTACTATTTGAGTAAGTGTATCTTTCTCTGTGTATATATGTATATATGCATATATGTGTGTGTGTGTGTGTGTGCTGCTTGCACTCAGGGTCTCTTGTTCTCACTTGGCTTTTTTTTTGGGGGGGGTCTGGTCATGGGGCCTGAACTCTGGGCCTGGGCGCTATCCCTCAGCTCTTCAGCTCAAGACTAGCACTCTACCACTTGAGCCACAGCACCACTTCTGGCTTTTTTCTTTTTGCTTATGTGGTGCTGAGGAATTGAACCCAGGGCCTCATACATGCAAGGCAAGTGCTCTACCACTGAGCCACCTTCCCAGCCCCATCTCACTTGGCTTTTTTAAAAATCAAGGTTGACCCTCTTCCCCTTGTGTTGAATCCTACTTCCAGCCTGCCTGGCTGCCTGCCCACCCACCCGCCCTCCTTTTCCATTTTCTTTTTCTTTTTGCTAGTTAATTGGTTACAGGAGTCTCATAGAGTTTTCTGCCTAGACTGGATCCTCAAATCTCAGCCTTTTGAGTACTTAGGCTTACAGGATTATAGACATACGTCGCTAGCACCTCACCTTTATTGGTTTTTGTACCATTACTGGGACTAGAACTCGGTGCCTCATGCTCTTGTTTGGCTTTTTCACTCAGAGCTGGCACTCTACCACTTGAGCTTCATCTCTACTCTATGTTTCATAATTATTATGTGTTTTTATTACGTCTATTCCTGAGATTTGCTACCATTTTTTGAGGGTATATTCTTTCCATCCCTAAATATTTCTTTAGCTTAAAATATTTAACAATATTTTACTTAAATTTATTACTTAAATTTGTTGATTTATTATTTATTAAAATGCTGTTGGATGCTTAGAGTATACCAGGTCCTTTAGCTGAGCACTAGGGATTCAAGATATAATCCTTGAACAGGTTATGTTCACAGCAGATAATTAAAACACACGGTGGAGGGACTGTTGTTAAGGGAGTTGTATCAGCAGTAAATATTTTTTAGTAAGTAACAATGCAAGCAGATTAGATTTGTTTTTGAATATTATTAGCAATCAAATTCTTACTCCTCCTTGGGATGAAGATGAAAGAATTCCTAACTGAAAGGTGTTTGTGTTTTATATGTTAGGGGGAAAGTATTGTTGGCAAAGACTTCTCCATCTCAACCATAGTAGAAGAGCTGATTGTAAGTGAGAGTAGAATGGCTTTGAGTAGAGTCTGGCATTCATCTTTGGAAAGGAGAAGGGACTGGCCCTTCAAGGGTTACTTCCATTCCTGAAAAACAGTGGTCTATTCAGAGGTACTGTGTGCCTAGCAGTAGGGAAATGGATTCTCTTGAAAGATCACTGGGAGGCTCTACAGATGGGAAAGATGCCAGGTGCCAGTGGACCATGCCTGTAATCTTAGCTACTCAGGAGGCTGAGATCTGGGGATTGAGGTTCAAAGCCAGCCCTGTTTAATTCATTATAAACTGATCACCATTGTTTCCTTCTCTACTCAGTGGTGGTTTATAAGTCAAGTCAAAATGTCCCCAGAAGTTGCCTTGAACCGGATTTCTCCAATGCTGTCACCGTTCATCTCTAGCGTTGTCCGCAATGGAAAAGTGGGACTGGATGCCACAAATTGTTTGAGGATAACAGACTTGAAATCTGGGTATGTACCTGAACTAGTTCAACATTATCTAACAAAAAACCTTTCTTCCAGACTCATGAAAATTAACCACTGAAGAATTCTTCAAGGCACAATCTCATCACCTGCTGGTTCAGTTTGCTTTAAAATTTTTTAAACTATTTATTTATGGCATTGTTGGGAATTGAACTTAGGGCCTTACACGTCCTAGATTAGCACACTGCCTCTGAGCCTGAGTCTTTGATTCAGTTGGTTTTGTTTGACATGTTTCCTGTTTTTGTATTTCAGGCCATTGCTTTATGGCCAGAATGTGCATGTCTTTTATTTTTTTTTCCTGGCTTATCTCTTTGTGAATAGTGTGCCATGTGGGTTTTAGCAAGAATGTTTTTCATGCATTGGCTTGCTTTCTTATTTATTGCAATTCAGTGTGCACATTAAGAATTAGGTTTTGAGGTTCTGCATCTGACATCATTTGATAATCTCTTAATAGGAAAATTATAATAGCTAGCCTAAATGAGTCATTCCTCACAATGGGGTTCAAATAACAAGGTCTCACACCTGGATGTGTTGCATTAAAGAAAAAAACACATTTTATTTTGAAATAAAATTAGATTTACAGAAGTGATAGAAAAATGATAGGAAATTGATACTATTTTAGTGTAATATGTCTTACTTGAATTTTGCCGATTTCCCATTTCATGTTCATTTTTGGCTCAGGATTGAATGCAAAATGCCCATTACCTTCAGTTATTAAGGCTCCTTAGTCTTTTAAATGGTGACTTTTTATTAGTTTTTGTTTTTAATGATCTTGACTTTTTTTTTTTTTTTGGTCTCAATCTTGGGGCTTGAACTCACGGTCTGGGTGCTGTCTTTGACTTTTGTGCTCAAGAAAAGCGCTCTACCACTTGAGCTGCAGGTCTACTTCTGACTCTTTGTTGGTTAATTGAACATAAGAGTCTCATGGACTTTCCTCTGTCCTGGATTTGAGTCATAATCCTCAGATCTGAGCTTCCTGAATAGCTAGGATTACAGGTGTGAGCCACCAAAATCTGGCAGGCTTCATACTTTTAAAGATCATTCACTAGGTATTTTGTAAAATGTCCCCCCAGATGGATTTGTCTAATGTTTTCCTTTTGTTGGAGTGAGAAATACAATCCCTTTATCATCCAAGAGTGCTATAGATCCATATATCAGATTAGGGAATACATGATATTCAAATGACTTTTCATGTGATTCTCCTTCCTAGCCTGCTTAGAAGATGGGATTACAGATGTTATGGATCTACTCTGAGCTTTACGGTGTATTTCATAGCTGTGGTGTTCCATGAGTTAGGTGTATTCAGCACATTTTTCAACTTACGTTATTTCCAATTTTTGATGGGTTTGTAGGGATGTGTAGCCCCTTTGTAAGTCAAAGAGAAGCCATACTATCATAATTTGGTCTTTTTTTTTTTTTTTTTAAATTGGGTGCTCTTCCTACTGCCTGTGACTTTTGGCACATCCCCATCATTTTTTTTTATATTAAAAATGTTGAATTCTCAATTCTCTTTTAGTTGTTTTTGTTAAGCTCTCTTGCCTTTAGTCTTCTATGTTGTTTTAGTTTAAGCTGAAGAGTTGGATAAAAGATATAAACTCAGTGTTCTTTAGTAGTAAGATAGAGAAAACTAAGATACTATTTTGGAACAGAAGGATGCTTATATTTTGAGATCTGGCATTGTTAATTTCATTAATTAAATGCTTATTGAGCATTTACTCTTTGTTAGTCATTTTGCTAGTATTAGACATTCATTGCTTTTTTTGTTGAAAAAATGTGAGAGAAAGAACTCTGGTGGAGTAGACAGGAAAAAGTTGATCTTTTGCCACCTTGAATATATATTTACATGTTAGATGATATAAATACTATCATCCTTAGAATAGTCAGGTATTGGAAATTGACAGTCTAATTATTTTACTGGATAAGAATTTATGCTGTTTAGTTGGAGCAACAGGTCATTTGTTTAGACAGGCTCCTCAGCTTATAAATGGTGATAGGAAATAAGAGGAATTGGAGACTGTGTATTGGAGATTGTGTCTAGTATTAATTCCATCTGGATTTCCCCAATTGCTATAAACAAATTTGATAATGACAAAGGCCTCCTAAATTACAAAGACCTTTAGATGAACATTGTTTCCTGACTGAGGTTATTGGCATCAGAGTTCAAGAGGGTATTTTCTTTCCTTCCTTCCTTCCTTCCTTCCTTCCTTCCTTCCTTCCTTCCTTCCTTCCTTCCTTTCCTTCCTTCCTTCCTTCCTTCTTTCCTTCCTTCCTTCCTTCCTTCCTTCTTTCCTTCCTTTCCTTCTTTCTTTCTTTCTTTCTTTCTTTCTTTCTTTCTTTCTTTCTTTCTTTTCTTTTCTTTCTTTCTTTCTTTCTTTCTGAGTCATGGGGCCTGAACTCTGGGTCTGGGTGCTGTCCCTCAGCTCTTCAGCTCATCAAAGCTAGCACTCTACCACTTTGAGCCACAGAGCCACTTCCAGGTTTTTCTGCTTATGTGGTGCTGAGGAATCAAACCCAGGGCCTCATGTATACAAGGCAAGCACTCTATCACTGAGCCACCTTCCCAGCCTTAAAGAGGGTATTTTCTGATTGCCCTTATTGCAATTTTTAGCTTGGACAAAGTCAAGTGGTAATTTTTCCACTCAGGCATGGATGAACTTTGAAAATATACCATACCATTCCATAAAACATCACATGTTATGTAGTTCTGGAATGTCCAGAGTAAGGCCAGTCCATGGAGACAAAAAAATAAATTCGTGGTTGCCAATGACTAGGGGAATGAGAAGAACTTGCTAGTAATGAGTCAATGGAAATGTTCTAAAGTTTGGTAAGGATGATGGTTGTACAATTGTGAATATACTAGAAATGACCTAATTTTTGGGCTTTAAGGTAAAGGTTATTGCATGTGAATTATATCTCAGTAAACTGTTATTAAAAAAAGCAACTTATGAACTAAGGATGTTTGCTGGCCTGAAAAGATGGGATTTTTGAGACAAGGTTTTACTCTTTAGCTTGTCAAAACATTCATTTCAGAATGCCAAAGACTTTTTTTTTTAGGTAAGGGGTAGGTTTATTTAGTAGACCTGCTGGGACCAGGCAAAGTTGGCACTCCATGCAGCTGGCAAAAGAGAGAGCTGGGAAAGAGAGAGAGCTGGGAAAGAGATAGCTGGAAAAGAGAGAGAGCTAGAAAAGAGAGAGAGCTGGGAAAGAGAGCTGGGAAAGAGAGAGAGCTAGAAAAGAGGGTGTCTGGGTCTGGGCTAGGCCTTATCTAGGGTGGGTGGAAAAAGGTGTGGCCACATCAAATTCAGATGTGACCTCAGCGGATGCAGATGTGACCTCTTCCAGGTGTGCCAGTTGCCTAGGTAACGCAGGTACTGGGTGAAGACTTTGCTGGGAGGAGGGTGGAGTCTTCTCGCCATCCAGGAATGGACCTTACATTCCAGCCTTTTAATAATCGTAAAATAGGGCACGGATTCTCTCTGGATACTTCCTGCTGAAAAGGGGCATCAACATTAGGGGTAAAAGGCTGGAATTTGGTCCCCTCCCAGAGAAGGCAGTGAGCAGCAGCTGTCCCTTGGTGGCGTGAGTCCTTAGATGAAGTCTGGAGAAGTCTCATGAGGCATTGAAGGGCTGGAAAAAAATACTAGAGAGCAAATAAATGGCAAGAGGAAGGACTTGGGGCTAAAAATGTTGGTAGAAATGTCCCTAGCTACTTCTGACATTTGGCGACTAGGTAGAGAAATCAGGTGATAAAGGCAAGAATATAAATTCCTGTTCAGTTAATAGATAGACAGGTATAGACATTGGATGGGCAGGCTTCTTACTTCTACTGACCTCCCGGCTCTGGTTAATTTTGAAAGGGCAGGCACAAAGTGGCTGATGTGACATCATCTCCTCTTACTCCTCCCCAGACTGGCTGAGTCTAGGTGCTCGTTGCTGAGATGGCTTTTCCCAGTTAGTATTCAAGGAGGATTGAACTCAAGGCTTGAGCACTATCCCTGAGCACTTCTGCTCAAGGCTAGCACTCTACTACTTTGAGTTATAGTACTACTTGCAGTGTTTGTGGTTAAAGATAAGAGTCTTGAGCCATGCTTCCAGCCTGGCTCTTTGCAGTTAGTTGGGAGATGGAGTCTTAGGGATTTTTCAGCCTGGGCTGGCTTTGAACTGCAATCTTTGCCACAAAAGCCCTTTATTATTTCCAATTAAAGCAACAAGAAGATCAAATAGAATAGAGCTTATCTGGTCCTTATCAAGAATTGACCAACAAATATTCTGCAATGACAAAACTTGTTAGATGTGATGAGAATGTTAGCACAGGCTAAAATTTTAGAAGTTTAGAACCACGTAGTGAGTAGTAGAATACACAACACAAAACAAAAAAGGCAAAACTCAAAACCTAAAATTTTTGACAACAATGTGTAGACATCTTTGCTAACAAAGCACATCAGATGGTTGGGTCTCACTTACTAGGGCCTGTGAAAAGAGTAACTTATTAGAAGGCACCTTAGAATAGATGGATGGAGTGGTAAACTTGGTGGAAGTTTAAGGGTCAGATGGGGCCAAACCCTTAACCCACCATGTGGCCAAGATAAGAACTCAAGATGGCGAATTTCTGAAAAAATGCAAAGAAAGCCTGAACAAATAGATCAAGCCTACATTGGCTAGCCTTTGAGAGGGAACCTGGGGGGGGGGGTCCTCGGGACCCAGCCTGCGTTGCACTCTTCAGGGCACAAGCCAAATTGTAGAAAGAGAAAGGGAGAGATAGGGAAAGTTGGACATGACTGGCAGTGAGAGAGCAAAGAGAACCTGAAAGTAAACAGACTTCTGACCATTTACCATTGCAGTGGCAAAAACTGTCTACATCTGAGAATGGCATAAAAATTAGGTGCTCTGGCTTTCCAGGGAGCACAGGAGACATTTCAAAGGGGTTTCACCGCTTGGGTGTGATTTGCAGCACCCCATTAAATGTGTAGGAGAGTCAGTGAGTGAAG